CCTATCCAGTAAACTCTCTGCCGTAGGTGACTTAATGTCTTCTTAACTCCGAGATGTCCTCCTGTTAAATTATCATGGGATTGGCACAACACAACTTCCCGTAACTTTCTCGGTATAACCATTTGCCAGGTCGTCACTTTCCCATCTGAAGTTTTTTCATCACAGGAGAAGAATACCATCTTCAAGCTTCAACTGGTCCCATAGCGATACAAGTACTTTCTTAAAGAAAACTAGTTTATTCTTTCTCAATACAACTTTGCAATACACTTAATTTCCACAGTCACTTTAACTTAAACACATGCTATAATTCACAATGATTCATGCAATTTACTTACAGTCACTACCGCGCTTGACTCAATTGTCCGTCTCTGTCTCTGCCTGTTTGCAATTATTATCTCCGCTTTATTTACCGGGTTTATATACAAAAATAGAAGGCGTCTAGCAAATACTAGAATATTCGTGATGTTCCCCGATCCTTCTAGAAACTCATGACGTGTTACAAGCGTCACGTGACTTCCGCTGTCGTAACAGTATTCTATCTGTACACAGCAGATTCTGTTTTGAAAATTATTGAAAAACAGTTTGTTGAGAATGTCAACTGCACATAACTGAATTTATAACTTGGAGAACTAGCTACAGCATGACTAAAAGTTAGTATAATGGTTACTAGTATAAAGTTACTAAGCTCAATACCCAGACTGACTGAAAACTCCTCTTGATAAATATTTGTCAATAATTTGAAGTGTGTGCATATGAACCTGTTGCTCCAATATTAATCTACATAATCTCAGTAACAGTTGAAATAAATTGTATAGATTTTATGTTCGTGGGTACTTTCCTACCTTTAGTAACTTAAAACAAAACTTATTTTCATGTTAAACTATCAAAAATTACCTAAATTTAAAATTGTAATTGTACACACCAAAAATGTAGCTCCCAAACATTTTAAGTAGATTCTTTTATCCATCAAACCATATATTTTTGTCATTTTACATTTTTAATCAAATAAAAAAAGGGAAGAGTGTAATCACAATAGAAAATTTCTATGTGATATCAATACCACTGAACGCATGGTTGGATCTTCCTTAACTTATCTATATTTAACGTTTATTCACACAGGAGAATACAAGTCATTTTCCATCATAACAATACTGTCTCTGGGCGTGAAAACACCAGCATAGATGCTGTTGTTAATCAGAATACAGGGGTCAACAAGCATGTCTTCATTATTGGAGTACCTTCTGATATTACACCCTTCCTCTGCCGGGATGTTTGAAAGTTCCTGTGGCTTGAGGCACAAAACCTGGCAATCTTTGAAAGATGCAGTTTCACTGCCACTTGAAGCTTCACATTTTGAACAACAAACATGATTTTTGGCTGATTTCAAGCCACGTGAACTGCTTGGATCTTTCGTTAGCAACGATTTTGGAGTTTTATCCTGAAGAGAAGGCACAACCAGATTATCAGAGGACAAGATAAACTCATTTACAGGAAGTTTAGTATCGCTAGAATGTCTCGTCAAACTTGATAAGTTCTTTCTTTCTTCGATGCTTTTAAGGTCACTTTTGTTAAAGGGTATCTTATAAATGTTCGAGAGAGAACATTTGTTACATGAACTTGATGGTTCTACTGGGTTGTAGGATAACTCCACCAAATCATTCTCATCTAACAACTCAGTGTTGACCCTGCTTTGTGAAGCATTACTGTTTCCGAGATTGCTGACAGTTGGACTGTTATTCTTTAATGAATGCTCAGCACAAAAGATCTTGTCTTTGAACCATAAGCAGCCGGCTGAAGACTTTGTATCAATCCTAGATGAAATTGATGCAAGACTTTCTGGATAAACAGCACATTTTTCTAAATCACCTCTCCTCCTACAAGAAAAAGAAAAGATGTTTTACCTTTTCTATTATAAAAACAGGTGTCATTTATATCTGAAAACAAAACCGGAAGAATCAACCTATAAAAAATGAGCATAAAAATATCTACTAGAAAACAAAACATTTGTTATTTTGAAATGAGACTAGAATGATGTTTTGATCAATTCTGTACATTTTATTTTTAGCCAAGATAGGCACACACACAAATGTTTAAACCATTCTCGTAGTTAGATCCATGCCAACACTGGTTATTTCTAGTAGTGTAAATCCACTGGTTATTAAACCAATCGCATCGTCTAATATTGTAACAACAGGTACCATTTTACAAACACAAAAGCAGAATTATGTGTTAGAAATTCATTAGAAAACATGTGGTTTAATAGAGTTGGAACTGACTAACCAACTCCTACTTGTTTCATTTAATAACAAACATTTGTAATTTTTATCAACAGATGTCATAATAAAAGTATATGCCGTATACTTATATACACTGTTCGATATACAGTTTTGAAAGTCTAACAAAACATGGTACATCTCTTTCATACAGCAGACACTAGTAAATGACTCAGTACTGCTTAACCTTGAAAGTATTCTAAAGTATTTGATAACTAATACTTCTGAAACATGATAATTTTGTTTTAATACTAACTGAATTTGCATGTCAGAAAACTTTCTTTATTAAGGAGAAAAAATATGGCTCACCTCTTTATAACAAGAAAACAGAGCAGCAGAAGAAGGGTGAGACTACTCACTAATACTGTTCCAGTAATGATAGCTGTGAACAAAAACATGGGATTAAGTTCCAGATTCAAATGATGTAACTGCATCTTTACTAATGACAGAAATATTGTAAATATAAATATTACGGTGAATATTTAGTTCTTTATTAGGTTTGTACGAATGTTATATAATCACTGAAAGTAATTTCCACATAGAAAACTAGCATATATAACAACGACTGGATGACAAGGCTGAGGGCTGTCTTTGGTAACCTTATGTTCTTATAACTGCATTTACACTAACTAAGAAAAACTTGATAAAAAATACTTACCAACAGAAGGCTGTCCATAATAGCCTTATGTTCCTATAGCTGCATTTACACTAACTAAGAAAACTTGACAAAAAGTACTAACCAACAGAAGGCTGTCCATAGTAACATTGTGTTCCTATAACTGCATTTACACTAACTAAGAAAAACTTGATAAAAAATACTTACCAACAGAAGGCTGTCCATAGTAACTTGATGTTCCTCTTACTGCATCTACACTGACTAAAAAGAAAAGTTTTAAAGATTGATATAATATTGGAAAAATACTATTCAACATTGCTAACTAATAATAGAAAAAGAACGAAAAAAAAACCCATCTTGATGATGAACAGTTAGTGTGTATGCTATCAAATGACACTAGCTTAGAGCAACATATAAGATTATAACAAACTTGGATGATACAGCAGGCTTGTGGTAAACTCCAACTTCCATCTTCTTGACACCTCACAAACATTGCAGTTGTGTGTGACTGCAGTGAGAGACAAACAATGCAACATCTTCTTATCTGTCCCTAACTCCAGGTCCCATGCACATACCTTGCA